GGACCCACAGGCAATCTCATGCTTAACTCTTTCCACTGGACCAAGCGCTACTTGATCGATGTGGTGTCTGGTATCAGAGCCAAACCTCACGTTTGACCAGATCCCTCAGTTCCATTCCCCGACCCTGTTTGGTTGGACGGGCAAGGGGGGATGGCAGCGTTCATGGAATTTTTCGGCAGCTCAGTCAGAAACAATCCACCACGCCCTGAGAGCAATGTTGCGACCCATTAACTTTTGGAGTTTGTGGCCGACACACTGGAACGCATTATGTTGCATCTCCAGGACTCTGAAGTCTGAAAGGCGGAACGCACCAGCCTTCTAGACCAGCAGACATAGCTTTTGGTGGGACATCACACGGCTATGTGTGATATCCTGCAGTGTCATCTGGCACTCTTGGCAGGGGCTACCTCTGTGCAGCGGGATGCTGTTTTCGCAGTTTTCGCAGTTTGAGTCACAGGGTGCGCCACCATCTCAGTTATGCAGACTGAACCTCTTCCACCCTCTTTGATGGGAAGATGGAGGGTGCAGTCTCGGAGCTTCTGGATGCCATCGACCAGATGGTACAGGTGGAATCCGCAAGCAAGTTGGCTGCTGCCAAGGTCAAGCAGAAAGGACCCCAAGCTGAGAAAACACAGCGACCAAAGTCAGCACCCACTGGCCAGAAGCAGCAAGGAGGCAAGTGCCCCTACTCTTCCGAGGAGGGATAAGTCATCGCTTCCGTCAGGACAAGGGGGGTCGTGATGTGATGGCCACATATCTCTATCGCACTCAGATTGCGCCGATGTATTCCGGCTTGGAGGCAGCGAGTAAACGATCCACACGGTTACAAAATTCTGCTGCTATCTCCACCTCTCCTGTCAACGCTCCCAGGAGATCCCTTCAAAGCAGAAGAAATCTAACAGAAGGTAGACAGTTTGCTTACAAAGGGCGCCATACACAGAAAAAGAAGACCCAGCGACAAGTTTCTACTCACATGTGTTCGTAGTTCCAAAGGCTACAGGTGGCTGGCGGCCAGTTCTGGACTTAAGGCAAGCTAAATCAGTATGTATCCCTCGATTGGTTCCATATGGAGACACAAATCACAGTTTTACTCTCCGTGCAGCGTTTTGATTGGTTAGCCTCGCGATGCTTACCTGCACATACCAATGCACCCAGCGAGCCATCGGCTCCTTCGATTCGCCCATTAGGGCCAGATATTCAAATTCAAGGTGCTGCCCTTCGAGCTATGCACGGCTCCATACGTTTTCACCCGAGTGTTGTAACAGGTGGTGCTGCTGCTGCATTGGTCGTTGGTTCACATCAACCCGTACCTAGACGACTAGTTGCTACGCAACCAAGATAAGGTATCTGGCATCTTCCACACAGGGTCTACAGAAACGCCAATTACGGGCGCATGAGATGTGTGCAAACTCATTAGCGCTTTTGCATCCGGTGCCTCTTCAAACATGTACTGAGGGCAGGCTTCTGGAGAACGCCTATCAATTATTAGAGACACGCAATCCAATGAGGAAAGTCTTTTTAGGGTGGGTCCCCTTGTAGCTGGTCAGACTTGAATGGCCCAGCCCGAGCGTTCACAGGGAAGCATAGGCGATAGAGTAGTCTTGCCTACAGATTTGTGCGGAGAAGTTTCACCTGTCAGCACTGCTTGGATGTTCCTAGGTCTCGCTTTCGGCCTATGTCCTCATGCAGAACTGTTTCGGCCTCTTTTCTTTCTTTTTGGAATGTTATTTACCCCCAGAAATTAGGTTTGGGTCTAGCGTCCTCAGGCAATGCCGACCCCCATCACCCTATTAGCAGTATGCTTTCACTATGGGGACGACACTGGCAAGGTAAAACACCGTTTTTCATTGGTCTTAGCTAGGTGGTAGTCATAAGTAAAAATGTTGTCCCAGGATGGGACACTCCTTTATATTGAGTACTCCTTTTTTTCTGTTTTGCTCGGAAACCCACCACCTCTCGGTGTCTGACTCTGCCTACTGGAGTCTATGGTGAGTAATTGAACGTAGTGAATTTAGGCACAGCGTTTTTCAACCTGCCTATTCACATAGTTCATACCCACCATAGACTTCAGGTCCACCCCACTTTCCGTAGCGTACAGAGAAAAAAGGGGAGTGAAGATAAGGCAAGATGGCGCTGCCCTCTTTACATTGGTCGCGTGTTGCGTGACGTGGAAGAAAATCTATGAGGTCATGGGTTTTCCCTTACCTAGATTTCTCTGTGTTATTGGCTGATTGCAGATTAATGTCTACAGTTCAAAATAGTCATTTTGACTGACCAGAGTCTATGGTGGGTATGAACTATGTGAATAGGCGGGTTGAAAACCCCCTATGCTTAATTTCATTCTTAGCTGTCCATTTCTCCCTTAAATGTTAAAATGTAATTGGCTCAAATCAATTCGCACCATGGACTGTAATTGTTTGTATTCTCATTGCATAGCTGTCCACATCCTTGACTGATATCTTATTTCTTTCTTAGTTTTCTAATTGCAATTTTTTGGAGTTAACAAAGAGGCAGAGTTTTGATTGTCTTCAATTATTGAAAAAGTTGGCTCAGGGTATGGTTCAAAACTCTATCAGGTAGATCCTCTGAAAATTGAGCTATTGCGAATTCCAGGCAATAACATGCGTTATTTTGATGTCACAGAAATGTAAAACAAGCCGGTAGGCTGGTTGGCGATCAGATCCGCTCAAAAACAAGCAATATGTTTTTGGCTGTTTCCATGGCATAAACGTGAAGCTAACGTCCGTTTATAACTAAATGGGCCCGTATACGAAGTTCGCAAACACCATTCAGTCTTTAGAACTCACTTAGTTTATTACTAGGACCACAGTCACTCTACTAGTAGAGTGACTGTGCTAGGACGTATTCTGCTGTTACATTTATTATTTCCAACCGTTTTGCGATAGGATTTTCTAGAATGAAGGCAGCATTTACAGTTCATTCAAAGTTCAAAGTTACGTTGGGATTACGTTGATACAGTGTAACAATGTCGGCGCCGGTGATCTCCTACCAGTGGGCAACGTAGCCAAAATAAAAAGCATGGTCACTTGAACACTGCTATTACAAAACTGGTAGGAGGTAATACATTTGGGGCGAAAGTATTCAAAAATCAGTTTTTGGATGTTGCAATGGCAGTGGTGCGCCAGGATTTTTTTCCAATTAGTGACGGTACGACCTACCTCTGAAGTATGAACAAAATCAGCCGAGCCGTAAAAATCACAGAGGAGTTAAAAGCCGTTGCTGGTGAAACGTTACCCCAACTTAGGGATCAAATTTCTCGGTAATGAAAAAAGATATCAAAAATTAAAATAGTAATTTTGTGCCCACACTCAAGCTGAGTAGAATGAGCTATCTCTGAAGTGGTTTATCTTAAATTTGTAGGAGGAGATACATTTGGCGCGAAGCTATCCAAAAATCAGTTTTTTGGCAGTTGCTATGGCAACGGTGGGCCAAAAATTGTTTTCAGATTTTTCTTAATAACTAGGGTGAAGGTGAGACCTACCTGCCAAGTTTGAAAGAAATCGGCCAAGCCAAATCGTCAATAGAAGACACAGGGAAGCGAAATCATTCAATTTCACCTTCACGTATATTGATGGCGTACATTCCGTCAACAATCCTTCCAACAATTAACTTTCTATGATATATCCACATGAAATCAATGCAACCACAAAATCAAGTTATTCTGTCTCATATCTTGATTTCCTCTTTGAATTTTACTCAAAAGGTAACTTTTCTTTTCTACTTTGATTTTACCATCTTTATTTATTCCCTTTTTGTAGTATATCTTATTTCATCCATATCTATTCAACTCATGTACTGTGATATCCTATTTCATCCATATCTGTTCAACTGGTGGGCTATAATAAATGATGTCATGCCTGTTCACAAGTCCTGTATCTGTCCAACTCTTAGAATGTGACAGTTCAATTCATTCTATAAGCTGTCTGTATAATGGACTGTGATATTTTATTTTGTTGTTTTGACAGGGGTGTTTGTATTTCATCCTCTTTTTCCAACTCATAAACTGGGACAGATGATCTCATCCTTAGCTGGAATGGACTATTTCATCCATCCCAGCTGTCCTCATCTTTCGCCCACAAACTGTATTTCAATGGATATCAAATTAATTACCTACTCAAATCATTTATTAGTTCAGCTGTAATTACTTTTGAAAAATCACTAACTTAAAACCAATTGGACGTTTTCTGACTGTCATTCTAATGATTACACTGCTAACTCATGACAAGTTACTAATTTGTCATGTACATTTATTTTGTACTCACCACCCAATCATATTTTGTTCACAAAAATTGAATTGAGTTTACACAGCACTGGTATATTATATAACGTCGTGGTTATGTGTTAGTCACTTAATACATTATAACATTGATGTTTACGATGACACTGAAAACGCGAGCATACCTGTATACAATACTAAAAATATTACCTCGACAAAAATCTTCTCACAGTCATAAACATTGATGCTAACAAAAACATGAAAGCATTGTCAGTAACGAATTAGTACTCCTATATAAGTACATATTTGTTCTCATTGTCTGATTGTTACTATACAAACACACGCAATTAAGCTCCAGAAACTCTTACTTTGTACCTTCTCGCACGTTTATAGATCTGGTGTCCTCACTTCAACAAGTGATCGTTAGTTTTCTTTAACACACTCATAGTTGTACTACTAGTATACTTGAATTGTACGTATTTGTTCGAATATAAGAATCCAATTACTGGTAGATGGAAATTAGTATACTTGAATTACAGTTTTTCAACTCGGTGAAATCAACAACAAAACAAGTATATATTAACTATACATGTTACAATACGTTTCAATACGTAACCTTCAAATATGAAATAGATATATTTAAAGTTTACTTCCAACAAGTGTATTGTGAATGTAAATGAATGGATGCAATATGTTATAATCTTTGTTAGTGAATTACTGAACGTTGCTGGGATTCTGTTTAACTATATGCAATCACATTCTGTCATTCCATTTTAACCAATAAACCATAAAGAATGACGCATCCACGTTCTTTAGTAAACCATTCAATTTCTTGATTGCTAAACTTTGGATCAATCTCTTCTTCAGCTGCTATAGTTTCCCTTCCAACTTTGTAGGAAGCTGGTCTGATGCACACCTGGAAGACCACCCTGGCTTTGTAACGTTTTTTAGTCAAAGTGTCTTTGAAACTGTAAATAGAATAACGTTTGATATACACTAATTTAACAGATTAGAAATGCATCAGATAATACAACTATGAATACTGAAAGAGTGAAATGACCTTGTCCTTACTCGGTGGATCAGATAATACAACTATGAATAATGAAAAAGTGAAATGACCTTGTCCTTACTCGGTGGATCAGATAATACAACTATGAATAATGAAAAAGTGAAATGACCTTGTCCTTACTCGGTGGATCAGATAATACAACTACGACTACTGGAGGAGTGAAATGACCTTGTCCTTACTCGATGGATCAGATAATACAACTATGAATACTGGAAGAATGAAATGACCCTGTCCTTACTCGGTGGATCAGTTAAAACAATTACGAATACTGAGAGTGAAATGACTGTGTCCTTACTCGGTGGTCTTTGCGTATACATCACAGCCCGAATATCTAATACTGGGAGAAAGAAACAATTGTTTTGTATCAAATCCCTCTGGCTTAAAATCATCAGTAAAGTGTCCATCTTCTTCGCGAAGCTCTTTTCCCCCTAGTATAATATCACCTGTTAGTAAAAATAAATGTAAAATGTAGGTCACAGAAGAAAGGCATGATACTTAAGTGATACGTGTCACAGTCTATAATACGTCACCATTGCCTGAACACTGAATCTCAGTTCAAAGTTTATTTCTGACCCATCTCCACTTTGTCAATACAGACAAGGAAAATGCGTGTGTAAAGACCGACGAAAATGAATTTCTATCCACAAATATCATGATGCCAGTTTATAATGAAAATATGCCATGGTTATTAAATTGGAACACTTATGATTTGCCAAACAATAAGATGAACTCTTGCAAGCGCAGAATTGTGGATGTAGTCCCTATGAAGTCATCCCGTCAAAAGAATGTAGTCTTTGTAAATGATATGATAGAACGTTCAATAAATGTAAAACACAAAACAAACCTGGAAAAAGCAGATCACCACCTTCAAGAATTGGTTTTACTGCTCTCACAGTAGTTCCATGGAAAGCAACATGCCATTTTTCGAAAACTTCAAGAGCCTTAGCTCGCTCTGGAACTCTGTATAAAAACATAAACAATTTAGAATCGCAAAAAGAACATATATATATTACACGAATGACAGGCAAAGATTTACCACGGTAAAACAGGTGGGTTTAAATCCAGAGTCAATGCAGAGTGGCCTCCACAACAGATACGCATATTATGCTACGTAGATTGAGCACATCATACACGACAGATTCATCTTATACAAACTTACTTCAAGGCAAATCGACACCATCCCATTGGAACACCATAGTCCTTTGCTGGGTTTCCACGAGCGTAATATAGTTTATCACCTCTGGCACAGTGACAGGATGTACAATAACACATATCATATTCTTCATTGAAGAAGTACTCTGTGAAATAGCATTAGTAAATCGTGACATACACAATAAGAAAATGGCGAACTGAAAATTTCGGAAACGTTTCTACAGAAAACAAATTAGAATTACATTATAACTTACCAGATAATTTTAGGGATGTTTTAAAACGCTCACATAGTGATCTATACGCACATTTGACGTCAGCTGAAGGTCCAATATAGACTTGGGTATAAAGAAGATAGAAAATATGTATAAGAATCTACATCGTGTCACGTGTAAGTGAAATAAACTAGTAAGGATTTAGTAAATCATTAGACCTATATTACTATTGACTTAGAACATACCTTGGGTAAGACCAAACACGGGTTTCACTCGCATCAGCGCCCTATCTGCTGCTTGTTTGACTGCAAGGTTCGAACTTGCAGTGAGTTTTGTGAGCGTCGGGATCACTTCTCTATTTTTGGCAATTTGTCCTTTATTTCTATCTAGTCGGGCGAGAATCCACAGTGTATTAGCAGCGCATTCTTGTTCGGCGTGACGGTCGACTTTCATTAGGTCTACTAACAAAGGCACGGCACCGTTGTCTACGATGGTCATTTTGTTCTTGTCATTAGCACCAATATTGCCAAGCCCCGTGACAAGTTCCCGGGCAGAATAGCCTCCTTCAGCTGATCTTAAGGTTGTAGGATTTGTCAATGCACTTTGGAGACGTTGCAGAATAATGGTTATCGACTGTGAATCTGCTTCTAATAGGTTAACTTTGTCGTCTTCCACCACATATGATAAGGTTAACAAAGCATCGCTGGCCAACTCTTTGTCATTGGACTTTAGAAATGGTGAGATTCTCTGGACTGCACGAAGCCTGAAATATACATCTTTATTTTCAGTAGCCTTTGCAGAGTTGTGAAGGATGCTCATTGCGGATACAACAATAAAACGCTTTTTCTGTAATATTAAATATATATTGGAAATTTGTATAATTATTTAACAGTCATAGGACTGTATGCAACTGTACTATTGTGATGTATGCTCGTCATTACGACATTATAAGTTCAATAAAGGTATTGGTCGCCCCATTAAGAACTACGGAAGTTGTCATACAAACTATTTCATTTCAACAGTCTGCCAGATATGAAATTATGTATGCAATAGTTTCATCAATTCATACATTATTTAAAAGCACACGGTGTATTTGACACCCAGCTAAAACGACTTAAATTTAATTAAACAAAATGACACAGACCCATTAAAAGTACATATGAATTTCAATGTAATATTTGTATTTGAAACAAGTACAGCCGAGGACATAACAGTGTGGCCGTTTCCTGCACGTTCCCGGGCCGACTGCGGGAACTGTGATTGGTGTCTTGTCATTACTTTCTATTTATAAACCGTGTTAAATTAGAAAGCGCTGCTATGGATACACGACGGTAAATAACAAAACACAAATACCATTTTGATAATTTGTGTATTACAGGCGTCATCAAAATCGCGGCAGACTTGAAAGGAACGCGTCATTTTGTCCTCTGTTTTCTTACCTCATCTGTGGAACTATGAGGTCCATAACGATCTAAATCTTTCAACATCATTTCCAGTATACCACATTGACCAAGCTGTTTACAAAACCGGAGACTTGCATCCGAATAGTTCCAGCAACTACTACGAACCACGTTCATACCTAACCATACATGTTCACTGCCCATTCCCTTCGCATTCAAGCGCTCCAGTAACTGTTTAAGTTCAGCTGCCGCCCCTATATCTGCAAGATGGTCACCAAATCTTTGGCGGAGTCTTTCACTTTCTGTGTCGTGATAAGGCTGAAGAATATGCTGCGCTATAGAAATGGAGACTGTGCGTATGTCAATATCAGAGCCCATTTTTATCAGATCCAACGTTTCTCTCATTCTCATCATGACGGAGTTGGGATCATTACCAGTAGCCTCAATTTTGGTCTTTGCTGGCGCCCGAGAGGCTGAGAGAGATCCAGTTAACTGCGTACCTGACATTGGTGAAATAAATGTTGTTATAAGCTGATGCAAATCAATGACGAAGTATGTCTATAGACAATACGTATGTAGGATATGATTGGAATCAAAATAACTCTGAGTGAGTGTTCTTACCTAATACTGTGATACGTTCGGCCTGGCCATACAAATCAATCACACCATATACAATGGACGGCGTACTCCTCAATCGAACAGCTCTCCTAAGTACCTCACCATTGTAATAAAGGTGAAACGATTCGTCGTCTCTACGGACAATACCAATGGTATCGCCAATCTGCAAGGAAAACAACGTGTCATCACTCGACCCGTCTATAATACCACAACTCCTCTATTGTCGCCACAAATACCACTTCATCGGGTTCTGTAGAAGGACTGAGGTAATACCAATATGGCCAGTTTGTTTTACGGACGGTGGTTGTGATAATGCTTTGTTTGTTTTCAAAAATGTAACCATGGTAACTTACACTACAGTCGTCTAAATCAGTGTCAAGTTCTATCACTTTCTTGCCATTCTTCATGATGTTAGAACCACTCCACATAAGGGTTACTCCTTCTTTGCATTGCGTCATAGTGGGCGGAATTTGAAAGCTGTCAGGCGCGTTGCTGGTGAATCCAATCTCAAGACAACCACTCCATCGCGCTACCTTGGTATCTAGACGAACTTCAAACAGTTCATCCGTCTTTAATGGCTGAGCCGTCATAACTACACCATCATTAAAATCGACTCCCGCACTGTGAACAATTATAAGAATCAAATGTTTATTTACACAAAGTAA